GAATTTCTTCAACTATATCCAATCTAAATCTACCACCTTTCAGCATAAAGCCATTGCCTTATCTCACATAGATGTACCAATACCTTCAGGAGAACTTGCTAAAGAGGTGTTCTCTCAAAGCCATCCCTTCTGCTGGGTGAAATGCTAACATTGATCATCTCCTATTAGATCAGACCTGTAATTACATGGCTGAGTTTTGGACATGTCCTTTGAACATAAAGATTAGCCAAATCAGGAAAATTTGTTGTCAACAGGTCAGTAAAGAAGGCTGCTAAACCTGAAAAGGACATGTCAGTGTGGTGAAGATGGACTGCAGTCAGACTTGAGATCTTTTCTGCTTCTAAAGAAAAATCAACTTCTACAGCTAAAATCAAACTTGCTTTAATAGAATGACTACCCTCAAAATGGATGGAAAGCATACTAAGATCTATTCAGTATTGCTGGTTTAAAAGCACTGTATCATTTCCAACACATCTCATAGGAAAAACTACAGCAACTTGAAAAATATAGGACAAATAGTTGTTGAAAGACCTGAAAGAAAACAAAAAAAAAGGAAAGAAGAATTTCCTTGGATACTGTACCTCACAAACTTGAACAATGAATCAACATCTAAGAATAAAGTATCTCAAATGCAAAACTTCACTATTAGAAAATGATAAGCCCAAGTCTTCTATGAAACACAGAAAGGTAGAGGAAGTACATAATTTATTTACTTCCTCAATATTTTCTCACACAAAATTCAGAGTAGCTTAGTCTGGAAGCAACTTCAGCACAATTCTCCATGAGTAAGAGTACAACACTGAGTGAATGGGAAAGGATTTAAAGTACTTATTAAAGCAGAACCACAATTTCAGATTGATGCTTATCATCTTTCTAGGAATAATCAGGTATATGTCATTGTAATTTAAAAGGCAAAGGAATTCTGTAATGAAGAATTTTCCGTCTTTTCTGCTCAGATGTTTTTTATCTACACAAATCAAGTTCAGCTATCATTATTTTCAGTGGAAAGAAATACACTCTGATAAAACGTGTCCCTTATGGTGTTCATTTGCACCCAGAAAGAATCAATTTCTTTTCACAGAGTCTATAATGAGCACAGGATCATGCAACTAAATTATAGGTGAATACAATATGCAGTTTTAATCTACACTTCCAAAATAGATGACATCTTTGAAGTCTTGTTTAACATCCACTGTATGGAGCTTTAATTCTGGAAAAAAATACTAAATATTAAAATAAAATAAACTATTAAAATAAAATAAAATCTAGGATTAGGAGTTAACAATGTAGCTAAAAACTTTTATCTAAATCTGATATAGAAATTGGCTGAATAGAAACCATCTAGCACAGTTTTGAGTATTAAAAAGTAGGCATTCTTTATTGCAGCATGCTGGTCATCCCGAGGGTATTTCCTCTTATCAAGTGTGCTGATTATCAGGTGAGCAGAGATTGTATCATACACACTGATTACACATTCATTAGATATCCCCACCCCCTTGATTTTATTTTACATGATCACACCCCTTATGTCCTTACGTCCTTACATGGTTCTTTGGGCTCTGTTTTCAATGCCTGGTGTCTTTTTTAGGTGGCTGTTCCTCAATCTCTGCATTTGAGTAAGCACACTACAGTTCTGCATAACTTCTGCTTTGCCAATCTTGCAGAGCTGGGCCGGCATCCTGCCTGCATTTTACATGATTTCTGTCTGCCTAAGTTACATCCTTTATCTATTTCTCCAAGGCTGTGTTGTTCTGGTCTACCGTCCTTGATAAGAGTAAGATGCTGTTCTGTTCTACTGTCTTTATCAAGTGAGGAAAATGCTGTTCTGCCTTACTGTCCTTATCAAAACTATTTCCAATTTTCCACTTTTTAAACAATTTGTTGTACACAGAGAAAAAGGCTGAGGTGAAATGTTAACACCACAATAAATATCCACTTTGGTAGGAGACTGGATTTAGGTTTCAAATTGTAGTAGACTCCATCTCCCATGTGGATTATTGCCTGATACAATTCTCTGAGAAATAAACTATTTTTTTTTTCCTGCAATGAATATATTAACCATGTAGTTTATTTGTAGTTTTCTGTAGCTTTATTGCCCCAACCTGGGAGCAAGACCTTGTTAATTCCATGAATTTTACACGTGCCCATTCCTCAAGCCTCCCTCTAGATAACATCCCCTCCCTCTAATAACTGCACCACTCAGCCTGGTGCCATCCACAAGCTCACTGAATCCCACTTGATCCACTGGCCTTGGCGCTGCTGAAGAGGTAAAATAGTGCTCAGCCAAGCATGGACCTTTGTGGGACACCACTCCTTACTGATTTCCACTTGGGCACTGAGGCACTGACTGTCTTTGGATGAGCCCATCCAGCCATCTAACCATCCATCTGTCAAACTGATGTCCCTCCAACCTAGTGGCAAGACCAATGAGGGGCACCATATCAGAGGACTTAATAGGAGGGATTTACATGGGGATGATTTGAAATTGAGTTTGAAATGTGTGAGTAGAAATGTGGTCTAGAGTTTAATGCATGGAATGACCCAAGGCTGCTACTTACAGAAAATTTTCCTTCTGAAATTAAGGTGTGTTTTTTAAGTATTTGCAAGGGGGGCGTGGAATTAAAGCAGAATAAAACACACACAAACCAAATAACAGAATGTCTAAATAAGGGATGACTGAGTGCCATCAAGAAGCAAAATTATGCCCTCAAAAATCTCCAAATGGCCTTCATGTCTTGTGTAGGCAATGCCTTGCTGCTTTCCAGGCCCAGTGAGTAATCAGCCTTTGTTACTCAGTAAGATTCTCAAAGTGGCCACATGGTGGTAGCCTATGATCAGGCACAAACAAGCTGAACCATGAAAATAAAGGAAATGAGGAGGAAAATTAATACTTGTAAACAGAAATAAATGTCTGCATGAGTCATCGCCACACAGTGAGGACCTGAGCTTTAATTCATCTTTTAGGTATTGTGATATCCAGAACAAGACTGTCAAGTGTACCTACTGCATAGCCCCATACAGAGATATGCTGTGTTTGAGCTCTGCCTTCTTAAAGTCAAATTCATATCTAGCAAACTTCTGCTTACACTTTCCTTCCTGTTTCTTGATACCTCACATAAAGGTGACTGGTTTAAAATAGATTAGATGAGAGGAAGAATATCAGAAATGAATTAAAGGTTCTCTTTTGATTATTAACCTCTTCATTACTTTAACTGCAATGTTCACTCTTGGCATTAACTATAAGGAAGTCTAAATGCAGACTGTGGAATTCTTATGTTTTAAATTAAAGGCCACAAATCTATTCATATAGAAGTTGTAAAATTATTCTGGTTTTAAGAAGAATACAGATTGACACAAAAAGCCTGTGGTAAAATGTGCTGGTCTTGAAAAGGATGCCTTTTGACCACTCTGGCATGCAACTGCCCTCCCTTTCATTAAGAAAATCAAATTAAATCATCCTTCAGACTGCACAGCAGCTAAGGAGAAAGTCATCATCAGGTTGTCTGGCTTGGTGAAATCATCCACATCTAGGTCAAGGACTGATTATGAAACTCCAATTGAAAAGACTGGGATGCTTGTGTAGCATTCCAAATCCTCTGCAGAGGTGATCTTGGGTATAATCCTAAATCTTACATTCCATACAATTAATTAAATTGCCTACATTGAAACTAATAGAATGTTGTTTACTCTGTATATATATATTGAAGATTCCAACTTTTCTAATCTTTATGAAAAAAAAATATTAAGTAAAGTTACTTGAAAATTAATTAAGACTTTTATTCCAGCTCAGTTTCAGGTAACATAATTCACTGTGGCAGTTCCACCATCATCCAACTTCTCTAGTGCTGGGACTCAGGGTTCCAAGAATAATTCTGTTCTGAGAACAGAACAGAGTCCAGTTTCAAGAATTACAGGAAATAAGTAGTTACAAAAGTCTTGGTATTATCACAGTCTTCCAGCAGACCTCTTTCAATTCCTCTACAGAGAGCAATTAGAAGTCCTTACTTCTGCAGGTCCTGAAATGAAATGTCATAGCAGGGTACATGATAATGTCCTGCTGTTTACTCTATGAATAAAATTGAGGAATTGAGCCCTAAAGAAGAGGAAATATCTCAAGAACCATCACATACCTAGCCCTCCTCTGCCCAGAAGAGCAACAAGAACAAAGACTGTTGGGAATGAAGATGTACAAGATACAGACAAACAGAAGGAGAGCAGATTTTATATTATTTACCACTCTACCAGTGAGATATAACTACCAAAGAGAAGTACACTCAATGAACATTATAACTAATTTAATTTAAATGCTGTTTTAATTTAAATGCTTTAACGACTCCATTTTCCTGATAAAAAATATTTGAAGATGAGGAAGACTGGGGGCTCTGTACTCAAACTGTGCTATGGACTACATGAAAAAGCAGGTTCTGTGCTTCTCAGTTCCAGGACACCAGCACAGACAAGTGACATACTGCTAATTTGGTACACTCAGGACATTTCAAACCTACAGAAGCTTCCCCTGATCTGTGCTTTGAATTCACCCACCCCAGAAACATGTGTACACAAAGCAGAAAGGTTGTTGAGACTGGTGACATGGTTTTTTACCCACCTATGGGGAATGAGGCTGGCTAGTGCAAAGCTGGGAGCAGCTCTTCTGCAGGCCAGAGCAGGGGGCTGATGCTCCTGTACAGGGCAGCATCCCTAAGCAATAAGCAGAAAACAGTGGCGTGGCTTGAGGCAATGATACCTGACCTACACCTGAGCCAGAAGGAAAACCTGGGTTCATCTACCTTTCAGGTGGTGCCCTGTACAAACTTCTGTATGAAAAATGTGTGACAGGAATGACTGAAAATTATGTGAATCAAGAAATGAAGAGGGTGCCACTCTGTTGTGACCTATTTGTCTCCCAAGGCAGGGAGTGACCCTGCTTCTCCCCATGGTTTAACGGAAGTGAGGATAAGGGAAATGAGGCAATGAAATCACATTGTCAAAGCATGCAAAAACCAAGGCAAAGTCATAGTTTCTATCCTTTTTGTTCTCCATTACTCTAAGAACCAAAGGGAAACAGGTCTTCAAGGAGGAGGTAGGTTTAATTTTGTCGGTTTTTCTTTTCTATTTTTTTTTTTCTGTTTCTCTGTTACTTAACTCCAAAGGAGCTAGGCAAGGAAATACTGAGTTTTGTCATTTCTGCTAGTTTTAATGTTAAAATAACCGTGATGGATGGATAGACACTACCTGATAGCAAGTGCCTGCTTCACTCTGATGAATGTCTTAACCAGTATTCTGATGGCATACTTTTTATAAAATATTAAAATAATTGTGTTTATATTTTAAAGTTTGCAGTGTTCCCAGTGTTACTGGCCTCATCCACATAGCAGTATTTTGTTAGGCTAAACCTGAATTACTGAATTGGAGAGCCTGTGTCACTTTCCCTTGAAAACACAGTCAAATTGGAAACGTTTGGATTTTAGGTCTTTCCATCCATAGAGTAAAATCACTAAATGGAGTGAACTCTTTTAGGACTACTGCATTTAGACACCAGTAGAATGGAAGTATGTCAGCATCCTTTCTCTTTCATGATTTTAATACTTTAGAAGATTTCGTATACACAATTCCCTGAAAATGCTTCAGGAATACAGGCATAATTTTACCTTCATAGCACATCCTACATGGAAGCATATTTTCATATTTTCATTTCATATTTTCCAACTGNTTTTCCAAAGATGAAAGAATCAGATTTGGAGATTTAAGGCTAACTAGAGAGGTAAATGCAAAGCTTGTGTGTGTGGTGCTTAAACTCTTAAACTCAATGAATAAGGGTTGGATTGGTCTTGGAGAGCTGTGGCCCACTCCTTCAATTCACAATGACAGCTGTTGAGGTACTGAATGTTATTATTTCCTGTTGGAGATCTTACCTTTTGGTAGGGGAGGAACACACAAGGAATTCATTCAGGTTGAGAGCACAGGCTATGAGTTAACTTAAGCAAGCCATAAACTTCTGCTTAAGCTTTGTCCTGTTTTTTACACTAATTATATGGATATTCAGGCCTGTTTTTTGAAACTGTATCACTTCTGCAGGGATTAGCTGCTGGAGGCTAAGCAGTGTCAGGGTTAGATTGTAACCAGCCAGTTGTCACACTGAAGAAAGTGGTGGATCTCATTTAAATTATTAGGGCTTTATAACCATGATTCAGAGCACTTAAGCACAGCAGAAAAAATTTTGCCATCCTGCTCATGGCTGTGGAATTTACATTCCACTGTAGACTGGGCCTCAGCTAAACAGGAGATCTAAACAGAGGACACCACGGTGACTGTCTCTGTTATTAACTTTCACTAAGTCCCTGTGCTTGAGTTGATTAAATTCTCAGTTAAAACCCAGTCACATCTATGGCTTCTGGAACAATGACTGATAATCCTCATGGCTCAACGCAAGTAAAATCACTGCCAACTTCAAGTAAGGACAAAAGCACAAGATTGAAACAATAGACAGTTGGATTTGCCAAGCAGGTAGTTAAAAAATGGCTAAATGACCTTGCAAAGAGCAGTTATTCAGGCTTTCTGCAGAGTGGAAATGGGATCTTTCTGTGTTTGCAGGCATGAATGGGACAGCCATTGAAAATTTTGTCTGTGTCATTTTTAATGTTTCCTTCATGAACTGTACCTGGCATGTGGGCAGGACTGCTACAGAAGATACCCAATACTTCCTGTACTGGAGGCCCTCAAAGTAAGTAGGTCCGCTTGAATATTGGGAATTTTGATTTGTGGTTGGACATGTGACATTGTCATTTTTTTTTAATACAATATTTCATGTAAAGGAATGAAGATGTCACAGAATGCCAAAATTACATCAAAGATAACTTTGGAAGGCACACAGGATGTCGATTTCAAAACGTGACAATAGAAAATAAATATGCTTATTTCCTGGTAAATGGGTCCAGAAGCAGACAAAACATTCAGTCATATTGGAAGAATATATGGCTGTACCAAATTGGTAAGCAATTTTTTTGATTTAATTTCCAGTTATATGTTAAAAGAATTAAGAATTCATCCCTGGGAAAAAACATACATTTTAAAAATACTGCTCCCCATAACAGGTTTGGGTTTTTTTGGTTTTTTCCTTTTTCTCAGTCCTAAAGTACAAAAATTGATAAAAACTAATGAATACAGAAACAATCTGGAATTATAGGTCAGAAAATTTTGAACATTTCAGTCAAATATTTATTCTCTGAGAGAAAGGTGCCATCTTTTAGAATTAACTAGCTAAGGACTCCTGAGTGGGACTATCTAGATGTTGATCTTATTATCTTATAATGCTGTTCCTCCACATAATGAAAAGAACCAGTTACCTTAATGCTGTGACCAAAAACTTCCTTTTTTTTAAGGGAAGAATGCTAATAAAAAATTCTGTTTAGTTTGAATACAGTATTAAAAAAAAAACCCTTAAACCCACTAAATAAAACCAAACCTGCATAAATCATATGCTGAATTCAGTAAAATGTAACAAGTGGCTTGTGTTTTAGTTTTCCTTACTGTTGCAGCTCGTGTTCCAGGCCCCTCAACTGAAATATTAAATTAGGGGGTCCTGCTTCAGAATATGGGGACAATATAGAAATTCTGCTAAAGTTGCATTACATATTTTTAGATCAGTTGCTTGAACATCTACCCATATTTTTAAAATGGCAGAGTGAAGAGAGCTGTTACTAATCATATATGCTATTTCTGATTATATTATTGTAGAAAAACTCACCCCTCCATTAAATGTCACAGTGAACTGTACAGAAGCTTCTCATAGTTGCAATATTTGGTGGCAACCACCTCGCACAAGTCATGTGAAAAAAAGCAGCTGTTTCAAATATGAAATTGCCATAGAAAACAAGGTAAGAATAATTATGACATTTAAGAGTGGTTTTTTTGTCTCTATTTCCACACATAATGCCATACAACCAGCACTCTGTTCTCATCCTCTCCTTTTGAAATCTTGGATGAATATGGAAAGTAATATTACACCCTTCAAAAGTAAAGTTGAAAATATTTCTCAGAATATTTGTGAACTTCTTGTTCCAACAGTAAAAAATTAAAAATATTAAAAAAAAAAGGAGACATGACTTAGTTAAATTTAATGTTTAAGAATGCAAAATATACACAGTAAAGAAAAAAAGTGGAAAAAACATTGTCCAAGTTTATTCGTAAATTTTAGATACTTTTTTTTAACAATTAAAATGTAAACATGTTGTCAACTTGAGCCTTTTTCTTTTGTTATTTAGTGCTTTGATATTCAGTTCTGAAATAAAATTTAAATGGTACAATATTCCAGAGCATCAGTGGGAAGAACAAAACCACTCAGTGGAAAAAGAGCTTAAATTTTCACAATCTTTAAAAGAAGGCATTTTAAATATTACATAAACCTTTTCTTTATGAAAATCAAACATTCATGAGAGAAGACCCTTTATTATATAGTAACAAAAATAATAATCCTAAAAATTAAACTTTTCTCTTGTTGCTAGGCTGATGTTGAGAAAAAAATCAAAACTGCATCTAAAAGAGTAAGTCTGTATTAATCTTACATTTATGCTGTATGAAATTACTTCTGTATTAACCAATTTGGTTTGGTTTCACACTACCTGTTTCAATGTACTACACATGCTCATAATTGATAAGTTTCCTAAATCTGAAGTTTAAAACGGTTGTTTATAAAACTTGGTACAAAACCACCTGCACGTGTGGAATTTGATATTACTTCACATAATCTTCCATTTTACATTCTTTTTTACTTCCTAGCAGATTCACATATATGTAAAAACACGGATCATGATTCTGTGTAACACAAAAAATGTGAAGAATTTTTTTCTTTTTTAATACTATCTGGAAAGGATTGAGATGTAAGAGGCAAGAAAATGTTACCTCAAAGACTAAGCCAATATAAAGATGGCAGGAAAAAAAAAAGGTCAACTTTTTACTTCTGTATAATCTGGCTATCAAACTCTACTTCAGTTTTGAAAACATCCACTGTAATGAACAGATCATTAGAGAATTTTTTCCCTAAAGTCCCATTGCTTAGCAAATTCTAAGGAGCCAGGGAAGCATACAGCAAATTTCATCTTCATATTACCCAATGATAAAAATGTTCAAAAAAGAGGAACTAAGATGAAACAATACTAAGGGATATTTCACTACTTACTATTTCACTCTAGTCTGGCCACAGAAACATTATATAAATACAAAATATACAATTTTATCATAATTATATAAAAATAATACCAAAATTCTCATTCTACTTATTTTGCATTTAGGAAGAAATAGTTGAAAATAATTCCTACCTCTATGAAAGCTTCAGCTCAGGTAAAAGGTACAGCATCAGAATCAGAGCAACAGACGC